CTTGTGTGTACATTATGTTTGGGACTTGAAAAGATTAATTGTTTTTCTACTTTTGTATAAAAATGTACTCAGCGGGAGTTCTGTGTTTAGTTTAAAACCATTAGAACATGGTGGACATTGACTTGGAGAGAAATGCATGGTCTGTGCATTACAGTCCTGTTTTTTTTTTTTTCTTTTAAGCATGTAACCTATTATCAAAAACAGTAATCAAGTAACATTTTAAATATGTTTTAAGCTGTTCTACTTTCAGTTAAATACTTCTTTTATGAGCTCAAGTTATTTAAGTCATGTGCTAAAGTTAATAACAAAAAATAATTTCTTAAGTTTCTTATATACTTCTTACTCCCTCTTCAGTGTGTTAGTTCTTATTGATGCTCTTTCCTTTGTAGAAATGTTTTTCAGAGCAGTTGTCCCAAACAGAACCACACTACAGACTGAGCCTGAGAGATGTCCCTTTTGTTACTGGCACGGTAATGTCTTCATTCATGCATTTCTGCTGTTAGCGTGAAGCTAAAGTGTCACGGTGCTCCTTTCTCACAGTGGCTCTCTGCATCTGTGTGTTTCCAGTCAGTCGGCTGCAGCCACTCAGTCAGAGCTAACGTTCAGGCCGTGCTCTCGCTCCTGAAATGTCATCAACCCTGCCTCTGCAACAGCCGTGTCCTCGCTCGCAAAGCAAACCACCCTGAGAAAGGCAGCCACGGCCAATCAGACGGCTCCTCCTCCTCTTCATCTGTTAACGGAGAGGACTTATCGGAGCTTCTGCAAGCCTTGCAGGAGGAGCTGCATCTCATGAGTTTGTGAGTACATTTGCATCCAGGCATAATTTGTTGCTATATTTGATGATGGAGTTGAGTTTTATTTGTCTGTGTTCCAGGGAGCACGATGAGTTGATGAGGCAGGTGGAGAACAGTGTCTCTACGGAGGAAAGAAAAGACCTTCAGAGGGAGCAGGAGAGGCTGTTACTGAAAATGGAGAGGAAAGGAGAACAGATCAGCAAACTCCACAAATATAAATTGCAGGTGTTTCATCGCAAAGCTCACATTTTTATAAAGACGTACCTTCTTTTAACATCTTTTGTTTAAGAAAGAAGTCATGTTTGTGCTTTAGATCATGAAGATGAGAAAGGAAGCTAAATCCAGACAGAACAGTGGGAGCAAAGGACGAGTTTCCACCAGAAGTCGCTCTGCAAGATCTCTCAAAGTTCAGCCTGGAGAGAGGAGTAAGAGGAACCTGAGGCTGCTGAGGGACATGAAGGCTCTGCAGGCCTCGTTACAGACCTGAAACACACCTGGATCTAAACACAACACACGAGGTTCATCTCCACTGCACGCTCTGGATTTTATTTCATTTTTGAACAATTACTGTCTATAAAAACAAAATACTGTATTTTCCAGACTATAAGGCAGACTTAAAATCCTTTAATTTTCTCCAAAATCGACAGTGAGCCTTATAATCAGGTGCGCCTTATATATTAATTCTGGTTGTGCTTACTGCCCTCGAACTGATTTTATGTGGTTATTGTGAATGAGTTGAATAAAATTTGACTTATCTGACTGTTTTGTTTCGCTTAATGCGCCTTATAATCCGAAAAATACAGTACGCAGACTCCCTTCTTTACAGCAACATAATCTTGTGGGCTTTTTATTTTATTTATTTGAAAGAGAACCACGTTGGAGTTGTTACTACTTTTTTAAAACAATTTGACTTTTTTTTATTTGTGCTTTATAAGAATGAAACATTTGAATGAGCCTGAAGGATTTGAATGATTATTTCTTCAACTATTCAAGTGTGTTATTTTTCATGCAAGTATCTCTGCAGACAAATTTGGAAGGTGTTTCTGGGGGGGGGGGGTGCATATCTGATTGGACTATAGGAAAATGAGCGTATTTGGGGGTGCCACATCTGACTGGACGATAGAAAAATGGGCGTGTCATGTGGGACACATTTGATTGGAAGATAGAAAATGGGCGTGGCTGGGCCACATCTGATTGGACAAAAAAAAAAAGGCTGAACGAAAAAAAGCTGTTTGCGTTACACAGACATGTCTAAAAACAAGTCATTATTAGCAGATTGTGTTAACCACAAACATATTAGGTCTGTGGTGTTAACCGGTTCGACATTAGCAGTGTCTCCATAACTTCTCTTTCCACCTCTCTTAACACAGAACTTCCAGTTACATTTCAAAATAAGAGCAACATAACTGGGTAGTGGGGAGGGTTAAATGTTTGTTTTTTAATACCTAGCCATTACATTAAAACACAAAATCCATTTTGGTTGTTGAAAATTTTGAAAATAATCAATTCATAAATAAAGAAAAATAAAGTAACCAAAATGTTAATGATACTTAAACTGGCTTTGGGACAAAGGATGTTTCCTTTAACTTCACATTTTATAGTTCAACCTTTTAAATCAGTCACTGCAGATGAGTGATTGTCAGTTTCTGTAAGATTTCTGCAACTGGAGCAGGTATTCTGTTTACTGGTGAACTTCCTCAGCTGTCTCACATTTTAAGGGTCAGTCCTACTTCATGTTTCAGCTCCTTTCATAGATCAGATCTCATAGAAGAACTTCTAAAGAGAACATTTTGTTTTTAGCTTTTGTTTTGGGCCATTATCTCGTCATAGGACTCATGATCTTTAATTGAGACCAGACTTTTTGACAAATGGAGCAGGTTTTGCTTCAGATCCTTCATATTTCATTGTACCCAGACCACACTCAAGCCAACCTGTGTCAGGTGCAGCTACAACCAAGAACACAAGAGAATCTTCTTGTGTTTGACAGCAGACATAACGCTGTTTCTTAGAAACCTTCAGTTTTAAAAAGAGCTGATATAACTTAACTAAAGAGCAGCAAATACAGCCAGCCAATCAGTGTTTGTCCTCTAGAAACGCCTACTCTCCAGAAACGCCCACTTTTGGTCTGCAGAGAACCCCTTCTCTTATTTTTAGGCTCTACCTTCACTTACAGTTTCTGATCAGCAGAGGGTGTAAAAGCTTAGTTACAAATATTCATATAAAACCCAGATACTGTTGGGAGAAAACAGATTTTCTTACTAGTTTTCTTGCCCCATTAGATGTATAAACACTACTGATGGTCTGTCAGATTATATGGCTCATAAACCTTTCTGGTCTTATTTGAATCTAAATAGGATTCACCAGCTTTGGAAATGTAAAAAAAAAAAAAAGGCATTTTTTACTTTTTTTTACTCATTTTGTACATTTAAGTAATTTTGGCCAAATAAAATAGCAGCTGGTGGTGTTTTGTTACTCTAATTTAATTACCCCAACTCACACACACATTCTTACATTTTCTGGTGTGCGCTACAGATTTAGCATCTCTTACTACACCTCAGTTTAAAATATTCTATCTTTTTAGTGTTTATTTTAGTTCAGACCATTTAATCCACTGAGTGAGCTCAAGATGTGCAAAGGTAAGAGGTGAAGAATGGAAATAAAAAATAAAAAAAAAGAATTCTGTCTTTCTTGCAGCTTTAAAAAAAAAATTGCTAGAAAGAAACAAATAAAGTAAGACTTGCTCTGGAGGTTCATCATGCAGCAAAATGACAAAACATGAGGAGAAAATAAACTTTAATCTTATAAAGGAACGTGCCTTACTGCAACTTTATGTGCGCAGCAGTTCTGGGAGACTTCACAGCATCTGAGTGAACTTGTAGACAGATTTATCTCAGAGTGCAAAATTCATGAGTGAGACATAAAACAGTTTATATTTTAGCTGTATTTAATTTTACAGTTTACAAAGACACAAACATTCAGGGACCACTTGGACATTTTCCAAAGCTGTTGACTGTAACATAATGTTTGTTATAATTTTTATATATATATATATATATATATATATATATATATATATATAAGCAAATGTGTGGCAGATATTTTTCTAGTTACCAAAATCTGAATAGTGTGATTGCTTGAGAAATAAAGAATACTTGCAAAATTTTACAGTTGTGATGGATTTTATTTTCTGAAAACGTTTCGATTCTCTTTAGTTTTCTTTTGAATCATGATATAATTAGATTTTTGTTCGGTACAAACTTAACGAAATAGTCTTTTTTTTTTTTTCTATTCACGTCAGTGGATCTGGGTGTGATTAGTGCCAGTTTTGAAAGTTTCTTTGTGTTTTTTTTTTAATGAATGGAAAAGAAAAACTGAAGCTAATTGTTTTCAACAAAAACCTGCATGTGGACAAATTCCAACATGTAAGAAAAGATGATTTGACAGACATTTGGTTTCTCTTTAACATGCATCAACAGAATAAAACTGCACACGTGCAAATGTATATATTTTTACAAGGTGTTCATTTATTGGTTTTAAGATGCTGGAAGTCTTGATGACAACAAATGTTTCCGGAAGTTTGTGAAGAATTTACATACTTGAAACAAATGTTCAAATACTCAAATGTCTCATGCCTCTGTAGCTGTCAGCTTAATTCACATGTACAGGGAATCTACTTTGTCATCAACGGCCCCAGTCAGAAGTGAAGCTGGAGTTCAGGATGTCTTCCTGACAAGAGGAACCTTCCTGCAGTCATTTGTGCGTTTTGGTGTTTAACTCACTTTTTGATCTTGAACCTTAACTTCAGCAAAGTTGTACAAACACAGTGACATCATTCCTTTTACAGACACATCTGACGTTTTTAGCTGTAAAATGTTAACAGACCACATGAAAGAGTTGGTGAATGGGAAGAAGTAACTGGACCTGACAAATGCAGAACACAGTCGAAGAAGGCAAGTTATTTACTGTATATTGCATTTGAGCTCATATTGACAAATATGCTTTTACTCATCCACCTCATAATCTATGAAATATTAGCCTTTGCTATGCTAACGATTTGAATTAAAGACGGATTAACTTGGAAACTTTTTTGCTTCTCAGCTGTGGAGCTTTCTCAGAATAAGCTCAAAATTTCTTTGTCATTCGCATCATGTGGTCCGTGTGGTGGAATGAAATTGTGTACACAGGGTCCCGGATATGAACTAAGAAATAAGCTAAATTAAGAATACACTAAACACTAGTAGTATAAAAATAATACGCCGAACAGCAGCAGCACGAACATGAGTCTCTGTGAGCAGATGAGTACGAATGAATGGCATGGAATAAATCAGCAGCATAAGATCAGCAGCATGGGTAGTCAGCAGCACATAATAAGACTGAAAGATGAGATCCAAGCTCATGAAGAAGACTGACCTTTTCATTTTGCGACCCTGATGACAGTTAGGGTCCTTGTTTACCTGGTCCATGTTTAAAATTGATTGTAAAACACTTTGAGTATCTTGATAACACAGAAAAGTGCTATGTGCAGTCCATTTACCACAAAATGTTCTGTCACATGCATGAAGGTGCAAATTGATGCGATATTGCCTGGAGATAAGACTCAAAGCTGTGCTGAGTCCCACAGAACAGAGAAAGCCCCTCGAATACGAAGTGAAACCTTGTCACTAATCAAAAAGCTTAGTCTCCTTACTCGTTTTGTTCAGATTACCTGAGAATCTGTGGCATGTTTGCATTCCCAATGTGCAAAATATTGCATGTCAATTGTGTAAAATCCAAACTAAAGACTACGAGCACAGCAAAGATTCACTACATTGCATCAAAATAAGCAATTTATCAAATGATTGTCTCAGTTTGGGGGAAAAATAACAGCCTAAATATGTTACATACAAAACAAAACAAAATGTATCAAAGTTCATGCTCAATAATCCAGATTAAAAACCCAACAAAGGCAAATCAGGTCATCTGGATGGTTTTGTTTTTTGTTGAAATGTTTCGTCCTTCATCCAAAGGACTTCATCAATCTGAGGAGCTGCAACAAACTTAGTCCCATAAGCAGCACACTCACATAGTGGGCCAACCAGTTTTATGGTGATAAGATGATTTCTGGAGTCCACCCTCTCCCCTGTCGACTCCTCTGAGGCAGCCATAGCCAAAGTGGTTCAAAACTGGTTGAACCAGTTTTCATCCAACTGGTTTGGATGAAGGACGAAATCAACAAAAAAATAAACCATCCAGATGACCTGACTGAACTTTGTTGGATTTTTTCTACTGGATTATTGAGCATGAACTTTGATGTTTGGCCATTGCTGTCTCAGAGGAGTCGACGGGGGAGAGGGCGGACTCCAGAAACCATCTTATCACCATAAAACTGTTTGGCTCACTATGTGAGTAAGCCATTTATGGGCCTGAGTTTGTTGTAGCTGCTCGGACTGATGAAGTCCTTTGGATGAAGGACGAAATGTTTCAACAAAAAAAGAAACCGTCCAGAGGACATG